GGCCGCCCCTCCCTCCCGAGAGCGCCGCCAGCGCCGAGCACCGGCCCTCGCCCCTCGTAGGGGCGCCGGCGGCCTCTCTCACAGAGACAGCTGGCACACAGATCCCCCTCCTCCTCCTCCTCCTCCTCCTCCTCCCTCCTACCTTCCTCCTCCTCCTCTCCTCCCCTCCTCCCCCTCCTCCTCTCCTCTCCTCCTTCATCCTCCTCCTCCTCCTCCTCCTCTCCTCCTCCTCCTCCCTCCTCCTCTCCTCCTCCTCCTCCTCCTCCTCTCCTCCTCCTCCTCCTCCTCCTCCTCCTCCTCTCCTCCTCCTCCTCCTCCTCCCTCCTCCTCCTCCTCTCCTCCTCCTCCTCCTCCTCCTCCTCCTCCTCCTCCTCCTCCCCCCTCTCCTCGTGTTTTTCTTTCGCCACCCGGGGCGCAGAAAGGGGTTCGCTTGTGCACACAACGGTCCCCGCGGGAGCGGCGGCAGGGGGCCAGTACGGCTCGGGGGGCAGCTGAGGCTCCGACCGCCGCTCGCAGCAGGGGGGAGTCCTGCTCGGAGGAGGGTGCCGCAGTTCCCTGGCAGCACGACTCGCTGGATGTATTCGCTTCGGTGCCACACAGCGTCGTATTTTCGCGGCCGAGGCGATCCAGCTGCCCCAGAATCTTGCGTTTAGTGCCCGCTGTGCTCTCTCAACGGTTGGCCCTGCAGAGAAGACTGCCCGCAGGTAACGGTTATCCCAGAGGCCTGCGCCACCCTTGCATACCTTCAGTGTGGAACGTGACGCATGTAGCAGAATCTCCTCGGATTCGGAGAGGGCCGACACGTATGTTGGCCTGCTTGCTGTTGGAACATCTGTTGCGGATCAATTTGCATAAAGTCAGCACTAATAGTAAGGATGAGCGAATTCCCAGGTTTCCTGTGCATCCTTTTCTTTCGGCCCATCCTTGGCCACTTTCGCTGGCCGCGCCCCGCTCGAAAAGTGTCGGCATGGCCTTCCAATGCCCTTGCATCCCTATCGTGCGTCCTTACTATCAGTTTTGACTGTACGCATCAGGCTCGCGGGACCGCTGTGGCCCCTCCGGCAAGTTTCAGTGCCCCCCAGGTGCTGACCCCCAGAGGCCCCACACTACCGCAACAATCGGAGGAGGAGGAGGAGGAGGAGGAGGAGGAGGAGGAGGAGGAGGAGGAGAGGAGGAGGAGGGGGAGGAGGGGGGGGGGAGGGGAGGGGGAGGGAGAGGGGGAGGGTGAGGGGGCGGGGGAGGAGGAGGAGGAGGAGGAGGAGGAGGAGGAGGAGGAGGAGGAGGAGAGGAGGAGGAGGAGGAGGAGGAAGAGGAGGAGGAGAATGGAGGAGGAGGAGGAGGAGGAGGAGGAGGAGGAGGAGGACACATCGAACAACCCCTATAGGAGCCTCCCTCCTCGGCCCTCGAGGGTCGCAGGCGAGGCCTCGGCGGGCCCACCCGGGGGCTCGGCGGACCTGGGCGTGTGCCTGCTGATCATCATGGTGTCCCTCGCCAACGCCAGCGCCGCCGAGGCCGACAACTGGATCGTGTGCCTGCTCCTGCACTTCGTCCGAGCCTTAGGAAGGCTGCTCTCGCCAGGGTCAAGTCGGGCCTGTCCCTCTCCAGGGGGAATATTCAAAAATTGTCAAAACATAGTCTGGGGACTATGTTTTGAGTATTTGTGGGCATCTTTTCTGCATTTTTGGGGGTATTTTTTTCCGTCCAAAGTCCCCATGTAGGGGGGGACAGGCCCGACCTAACGCCAGGGTCGCCCGCCATCGGGCCGGCGTGCGCGGGCAGAGGCCCCCCCCCGACGTGCGACAGTCTTGCGTGCGGTGTGCCTGCCCGCGCGCCCCTGCCCCCCCGCTGCTCCCCCCCTGTCGCCTCCCCGCCTCCTCCTCCTCGCAGCTCGGGCCTCCTCGGCACGGGCCGCGCGCGGGCTCCGCTCGCCCGGGGCCTGCCCCTCGTGCCCCACGCTGGAGGTGGCGCCGAGCTTGCAGGTTTTGATGGGGGGGCGGCCCCGACCCGCCTCCGCAGTTCGGGCCAGCGCTGGACGTGTTTGGAGCGCCGCCGCCGCCGCCGCCTCCTCGCCTCCCCGCCTCCTCGCTCTCCTTCCCCTCCCGCTGCCCCTCCTGCTGCCCCGTCCGATCGCAGCTCGTCCGGCTGCGTTCCCGCTTCCGCCTGCCTCCCGTCCCGTCCTCCCTGCCTGGCCTGGCCCCGATGGCCTCCCTGCCAGCGGTCCCTCCTCCCTCTCCCCCTGCTCTCTCCCCGCGCCTCCGGCTACAGTCGACCCGCATAGTAAAGATGGTCGACTTCCACAAGGGTGCCCTTGCGTCCTTGCCTCTTCGGTCAGCTTCGGTCCATCCTCAGCCACTTGCGATTGCCAGCCCCGCCCGAAGAGCGTCGCCGTTGGCGTCCAAGGCCCTTGCACCCTTACCGCGCATCCTTATGATACGGGTTGACTGTACTCCATCTGGCGAGGCCCGTGGCTGTTTCGAGGTTTGTGTGTTCGTATTATCTG